CACCTGGAACACCTGTTGCTCCGCTCCATAAATCTCCAGTGCGCAGTAAAATCGATGAAAGGAAACGTAAGTTGAGACAGTTGTATGAATTATTCTCACAAACTTCCGCCAATTATTTCCAGTCGGACAGTCTTTTTATTCTCCATTGTTTTTAGACCCGCGGGAGGTAACTTCTTTCTTTTACTCTTTTGAATACCTGCACAGGTGATAGGGTTGTAGAAATATGGCCTTTGTCTACTCATTTTACTAGAAAAGTCACACTGCTATAACACAAAAGAAGATAGTTGTGTTTTCAGCATGTTATTTACACTGGTATACTTTGTCTTAGCTCCTGACACCATATGCCCGACTTTTGTGGTCAAAAGCTTAACTACTGAGAAGATTGAGAGTCATGCCTTCAGTCTGGGCCATTTCAGACGAGGCGAAGGTTGCACAAGACTAATCCGAAATGTTAGGAGTAAAACAGTTGAAGATGGTGTGCTTTTCAGTGCGAAGTGTAAGTACATGTAATGTGCCCTTCGGTTTCATAGCTTGCTAAAATTGACGTCCCTTAGAAAGAAGTAATCAAATTTTGGCTGATAACAGACCCCACACATAGCGGCCCGCCGAAAGTCCTAAGCTCAAGTCAAGTGATACCTCTTTCAATCGAAAAACCATACGACAAGTAGAGAAAGAACTTGCGGCTTGTTTTTTTGGAGAACGTGAGACAAAGGAAGAGCTTGAGTCTCCACACAGAGATCTCGACGATGAGGCGGGTTTATGTTGAGTTCACATGTGACAATTTTTCCACATGCAGCTAGAATCAGCGATGTCCAAAGCTCCATGAGCTTCAAAGGTCAATGACGAGCATCGGAGCGCGAAATATGTGGGTCTGCAACTCGATTCCTCGTGAGGAATCTCTATTTTGACGTTAGTTCCTCGCTCTTCACCAAACGAATTACACTTTTTCGTAACCAACCACCGCTCTTTTAATCCCGGCTTTTTATTCAATTTCCGTACATGTCACTTCGCAGTAATATATTTGCATATTTATACCGGACATTTATCGCCGATAAATGAGTGAGAAATGTCACCGAGTTAGTGAGAACGTTTTTGTTTTAAAAAAATAACCTCGACGGAACCAGCTGTGCCGCATGTGTATCTTTGTGCCTATTGTCGCTAATATCTCAAAACATCACCAAACTAGGTATTTTCTCGGTAAAAAATGAATAATCACTTTGCAGTGTACCGTTCAAGTATCGATCGAGCATGTCAATGTCGATTTCCGGTCGAAAGCTTAGCCTTCCCGGAAAAACTTTTTAGTCCGTGGTGGTCATACCGTATTCAGTGGTTTAATTCCACTACGCTTAAAAAAGCCCGGATGTTTACAGGAACCGACCGACCGACCGATTGACTGAAAGTGCTCCTCACCCAACTGCTTAAACTCGTTTGAATTTCTTGAAAATGGAACGAACCAGCGCCGGAGGTGCTAAATAAAGGATACAGGGTATACGTTTCCAGAGAGTAAAGTCTGTGTTATGATTGTTTTTTTCTGTATTTCAGGTATTGGGTCACAGGACCAGCTTTATGATGTGTCTGTCGTTCTTAATGAGAAAGGTAGACAAATAGAGCTGAACTGCATGGTACTTGATATCTCTGTTTGTCCAAAAGCAATGTAACAATTCGAACGATGTGCTTAAAACTGGGCTATACGGTAACCTATCAGAGAATAGTATATTTTGAATGGACCTCATTTTTTCATGAGCGTCTGAAAACCTTGGGTCAAAGAAAGGCCAATAGTGTCGCGCAAGTCGAATAATTTACATCTTTGCTCAAAGGATTTTCCTATTTAATAAATAAAGAAGGTTTGACTTTACTGTGCTTTTTTTGTATAGCATGTCGAAGCATGTGGTAAGTTGCAGAGGACGAAAAAGTGTAAAAGCAGTCGAGTGCTTATCCCTTCTGATCACATGTAGGGAGGGTTCACCTTTCGTCCTATCTTTTGTCTGACAGGTGTTGTGCGAGCTAGTTGTACTTGTGCTGATCCGGCCAGTAAGCAAGGGAGATGTAAACATGGAGTCGCTTTATTACTTCGGTGCAAGAAAGAGAAAAACGTAAGTAATTTTTAGACTTTGTGGACTTTAATGGTCCCTGTCTTTTTGACATCTGAAATTTTCCAAATAGTTTCTGTGAACGACAACTCCTAAGAACTGAAGGCGAAAAAAAATAGTAAGTAAATGAAACTTTACAATGCAGATTAATGCCATACCACCAAACAATGTAGAAAACGTGACGATGAGATCGGCCAAAGTAATTACTTTTCAATATTTGGACGCCACTTTAAAGTAAAACGACTCGAAAAGAAAAAAATCACTGCCTGTCCCTCTCAGATGGGACATGTTTCCTACGGCTACCTTATTTCACATACAGCCTTCATGAAAGTACAGGTAAATGCTTTCAGCCCTTATCTATCTCCAATATCTATTTTTAATACAGTCCGCGTCAAGTGGTGAAGATCGAGTAAAGAAGACTAAACCTGAACATTCATCCTCAACTAAACACTGCAAAAGGTACCGAGAAAATCCATCATACTTGTTTTGTTTTTCTTTTTCTTTTTACTTGCCAGTGTGTTTATAAGTTTTATGTATTTTAGACTTAAGGCGAAAAAGAAATTGGAAACCACGATGTACTTTTTAAGCCCAGAAGAGCTGCTTCAAACAGCACAGGAAATTTTGCATAAGGTACAAAGCTACTTAAAGTTTAGCGCACTCAGTGATTGAATTATGGAGATTTACCTGTACGAGTTCACTAACAACAAACAAGAAATTTCAATACCGCACTCGGCAAAGCCTCCTGCGGTATTGAAAATTTCGAGTACAGGTAAATCCCGATAAATCACGAGCAATGAGTGCGTTAACATTTTTATTATTCAAATTGAATACACTGGACAAAGAAACACGGCGTTGAAACCTGTTGACAACACGCAAAAACACCTCTACTAGCTTGAATGAAAAATTTGAAATTCGCAACCTTACCTTTCGAGACAGATATTCCCCAAGTAGTTGCTTTCTTGGTGTTTTTAGGAATTGCATCATCATTAAGAGAATCAATGTTTACATCTGGCAATTCGTCAAACTTAGAGTCAGCTGAAGCCATGATGTAATGACAGTGGTGTGTTAACTTTATACCACGGCTAGTTCACCACGATAATGACGTCAAAGAAGTTGTTTCGTCACAACCCAGTATCACGTGATGCAAATCAGCCAATCAGAAAATCGGAATTCATAAGTGTATGAAAGCTGAATAATAATAATTGATATTTACAGGAAGAATAAATTATACGCTTCTGTCTTTAATAGAAGGTTTTTGTCATCAGCTGGTGTCATATCGTTATACTTTAGAACAGTAACCTCAGCAAACCGGAGGAAACTGATCGCAGCAGACGACAGTCAAGAGAATTCACGCGTGAGCAGCGCAAATCTAAATTGAGTTTACATGTAGAGGACGAACCTTATAAAGGGATCTCTCGCAGGTGCGTTTATGATTTACAATCAAGCATAAAATGAAGACCTCTATTCCAGCTAAAAATTTACCATTTATATTTTCAATACCTTTTTTATAGTTTTTGGGCGTGGGTCGTTGTTGTTTATGTTAAGCATTAATTTGGAAACAATAGTTTGATTTGTAGCCGGCGGTTGAAACAGTCAAAATATTTTTCGGCTACGCACTAGCTAGGCAAAGAGTCGTGGATGCGTGAATCATTCATCTGATTCGTTCATGGTGATGACAACTAGCAGCCAATGATACAACTCCGAACCATTTAGTTCAAAACAACTCAAGTTTTCATCGATTTATAAAAACGTTTGTCGTCTTGCAAAGATAACACGATCGTATCCCCAGTAAAGGCTGAATTCGTCATTTTTTTTTACTCGCGCACCATTGATGTAAACGCATCAGGTGACCGTATATGCCCCAGCTAAAAGTGGGGAATATCCGTTGTTATTAAAAACTGGATCATTGGATAATGCAATTTAAGAGTTTTCATTGGCTTAGCCATCATGGCCTATGAGCCATTATACCTTGCTCGTGTATGATGACGAGTTAAACTGGAAATGGATTTGTACATTGTAACATTCTGTTTGTTCTTATAAAATAAAGTTGGGCAGATTAATCTATGTTTTGGGGCGCCTTTGAATCGTCTCCGCGCTCGTGGAATAATCGTTCAATATACCCCAAAAGATATTCCACCAACTTCCAAACTTCTGTCCACCACGATAAAGGACTTCGTTTAAGATTTATTTTAAGATGAGAGAGTATTTAGTTATTTTTATTACAGAAGAAGGGACATGTCTGTTTGTTCATAAAGTCACGGTCGTATCAGAGAAAACTGAAAAGTAAATATTCCATGCAGCAGAGCTTTTCGTAGACATTTTTTACTGCGCGTCACAAAAATATCTGATTGGATTATAAACTCAATAGCCTCCATTTTGTGCTAAAACATGCTCGTATATTTCCGTTCATCGTAGCTCAAAGTTTTTTGTGAGCTTCGCTCTTGTAAAAATTTTCGCATCTCCGAACAGACTATGTTTGCAGACAATTATCCATTCAAATTTTTGCCCTAAATGGAAGGTATATGTAATTGAAGATATTCCTTTTGCGATGTCGTTATTTGGAAGGTTTACAGCGTCTTGATGTTCTTGATATTTTGTATCCCTTTTTCTTCACAGAGAAAGCCTTAATTCTTCCGTAAGCAGGGATAGTTTCATAAATGAAACAATTGTGAAGGAAACATGTGAGGACGTTCAGTGTGGCTGTACAGATAATGGGCTTATAAATAAGATAATCCCAGAATCAGTTACTGTTGGCACATTGGAATTTCGGTCTACGGAAACTAGTTCAAGTGTTCCTGAACCACAGATACGAACCAAAGCCGGTGTTCTTGAAAAGGATAAATCCCAAAACGGCATCATCATCCACAGGAAGGACGAAACACAAACGAGAACGTCAATATTGGATGAATTTATTTGACAAATGATTATCTGATACAGAATTTTTAACTCACTTATCATGTTTTCGGGTGTTGATGAAAATTATCTGAAAGGAGGACAAAAGGCAAACGTCCTTTGTCGAGTTTCTTTAAGATTAAGTTTTTGTAAAGGCGATTCTTATTGAAATTTTTCCCTGTTGAGACTAAAATTAGATGAGATTATTACCAAGTTTTGATGTAACGAGCTTGATTGACCGGAAGCCAAGCATTCTGAAGCAGGAGATCTCTAGCATATACTATACAAGCGATCTTTCTAACAAAGCAAACTGAACTTAGCAGAGTTGAGCTGGACAGGTAGAATCCTGTCGTTATCAGTCACTGTGTCTTACCGGAACGCTTTATACCAGTTCAGACCCATACTGCAAATCAACTTTAGTGACAAAAGGTAGATGTGTGTGGTTCTCCTGTCTTACTCTCTGCTTTTAGAGGAACATTTAAGTCATAGTTTAGTATGAAACTTTAAAAGACAAAATTGCTCATTGCTCGAAACTAGACTGAGTTATTTGGTTTGGAAATTTTTTCTTTTATTGTCGCATACACATCCTGTACGGGCCCCGGCCTTTGGACGTTGTCCCTGATGCGATGAATGTCATTTCCCACGGGTCTGTACAATGCAACAACTATGACATACTTGCCGCTGGGGCTTGGTGCTGCACCCATTCCTAACTGGGACGTATCTCTCCAAATCATCTGCGTGAAGTGCTTTACTTTATCGTTCAGCTCTGGATACGAGAAACTGAAAGACTTTTTCTCACTGTACCATATAGTTGTCGCCTTCAGAGGTGCTCTTGGTAAGTCGTGCCATATTTGAGCGATGTTCTCACCGAGAGGCTCCCCTTGGAAGGTGGAGGGGTCGCTGGCCACAGATTCTGCTGTTTGCTGTGCTTGTTCTGCGAGGGTTACGTTCCACTGAAGAGGATTCACGTGATGCATTGCTCTGAGTTTGTTATGTGCTGCAAGAGCCTCTTGAAATACTGCATCTGATTAAATGGAAGACGTTTTTACTTTGGAAATGTGGGAGAAGCACAAACATTCGTCAACGGAAGTAACGGAAGTAAATGGTTGAATATTAGTGTGTCTTAACAGCCTGTATTTGGGGTTTAAGCGACTGTTTCTGGCAGGTTCAACAAACAATATTTAGACTTGAGGAAGTTAAACTTAAGCTAAATATATATTAGTAAGAAACGTTTGTGCTCTTACATTCAACTTTTCATTTCTGAGTTCCTCGCATTTTGTTATTGACACAAGTAATTGGTTATCTGACCTCTCGTCGTTTAGGAGTAATCGTGCTCATAGATTGAATTTACGCGCCCGACTTCACCTTGAATTTCACTCGTCTCAGTCCCAAAACTATTTCAAAGTAGCGTCTTTAATACTTGGGATGGGAAATAGTCTCCTTATGTCTGGACACTGTCCGCGAAATGGAAGAGATCACACTCTTTGCCACACCATTTACCTTTTTACAGTTACGAGCTCTGATAACTTTCTGTCCCTCTTATTCACGTTTTGACAGTAAGTACTTACTACTTTCATTCGCGTTTCTGTTAGCGGCTGATGTTACACCGGTTGCTGTTGTGGCGCTAGTTTTCGAACCGGTGGCGGAAGTACCCTCGTCAGAGGTGGCGGCCATTTTGCGGATAATTCCAATTCCATTACTACTCTTTGCCTTATCTCCGTGTTTAACGGTGGTCATGCTTTTATTTCGAGGATGCAGAATGTTCTTGTTGTCATTATGTCTTTTCTGCTGATCAACTTCTTCCTCGGCAATATAGATCTCAAGGGTTTTATGTGATGCGGCTTTAGATTGGTATCATGCACATGCAGGGAAAATAAGTTTTTAAGGTACAACTAATTACTTATTCAACACAGGTGTCAAACGTAAGGCCAAAATCTATGCATTTGATGAAAAGTTTGCGCTCGTCAGGCAGATCATCTGCGCATTTAAAGGCATTGAGATTGAGCAGTTTTCACAGAAACAGTTATTTCATGTTGAACTCACCTTCTGCAATTGACTCATCTTCAGACTCGGCCATTAAGCCTTTATTCTTCATCTTGTTTAATTCCTTACCTAACATTTGGGCACCTTGAACATAGAGACATATTTAGAACCTCTCATCCAACTTTTATGAAAAAAAAAACAACAACAACTACAAAACAGACATGCCATATCCCTTACACCGGCTGGCTATGAAAATTTTAAAACCCCGCAAAGGAATTCGCAGCTGGGTTGCGGTGAAGGAAAGTAAAGTTGCGAGGGATAAAATTTACTGATGCTAGTAAAATGTGAAAATTACATCTGGTAAAACCTGCGTTAAGCTGGAACCTGGGACCCCTTAATTTCTCTCGTAATTTCTAACGACCAGTTTGATTCAATACTGAGTTCCATATTTCCAGGGCTTTTCACCTTTTTTAAAAAACCAGTAGACTTTTTTAAAACTTTCCAGACGTGGAAATTTCATTTTAAAACTCCAAAAATTTCCATGTTTTCCAAGACTCGGACGCACTCAGCACCACTTCAGAGTTCAGAGTTTTTTCGATCTAGGAGGTGCCTCGTGATATTTTACCTTGTCGTCTTCTATCTTGAATGTCAAACTTATCGTCGTCTTGAGATTTGTACGGGCGCACAGCATCCAGCACCTCTTCTTTGTTTCTCTCCCTGCCTGCAACTTCGCTCAACATATCTGTGGCAGGAGACGAGTCGCTTACTTCTTCCTCGTATTCTCGTGTTTCATCCGTGCCATCTGTAAGGATGAGGTATCTCGTTTATACTGTATTAGTCGCAGTTTCAGTGAATTCCCATTTCAACTGTCTTAGTATCGCCGCAAGAGCAAGAAGCAATTTTAAGCCCCAGTACCATATATGAAGTCACGGGCTACGCGAGAAGAATACATCTGACACAAATTGTAAACAAATCTGATAGGGTACAACGATATGTTAGATGGGTTATGAAATTGGTTAATGGTGTAACCTATACCTTCTGCAAGCGGTCGCTGAACTTCGAGCCTCCTGTCACTCCGTTCAACCAACTGACTTGAAGATTGAGGCATTTGGTCTGAAACAACTCCTTTATGTATCAGAATGTGAGAACTCTTTTTTGTTGCGTTTGCCATCATAGTTTGGTTTATCTTTGTTGTGTTTGAGCCAACCCCTGCGTAAAGGCACAGTAGGAGATTACTCGCTTGACCAATGCTACACAAACGGCCGATCCCGATCCAAACTTTCTTGTTTGCAACTGGTATTCTTCTTTAATTAAGCTAGCCATTATCTTAAAAATCCGCCCACGACAGTGTTTGTACAGTCATGCAGTGCATGCAACTTCCTTGACTTGAGAAACGTGCATGCTCTTTTGTTTAATTTTAAAATGGATATTTTAAATTGCTCAAATCGAAAAACCCGTATCAGTTTTCTATCGATATGATTTGGACCCGAAGATGTGGATAACGAGAAGTGATAACTATAGGCTCAAGGAATCACAACTGCATTGAAGCGCAAGCTCCCAAGACGGGAACTGTCGAGTCTAGAGTGTGTTTGCAGGTAATTTAGTGTTAACAACTGGGTTGAAAACGTAAATTAGCCACCGTAAAGGGTAAAAAAGCTGACGTTTCGAGCGTTAGCCCTTCGTCAGAGCGCTCTGACGAAGGGCTAACGCTCGAAACGTCAGCTTTTTTACCCTTTACGGTGGCTAATTTACGTTTTCAACCCAGTTGTTAACACTAAATTACCTGCTATACTCTCCCACCGACGCAGCACCACAGTTTCTTTCGAAACTTACCCCTTTATTCTAGAGTGTGTTTAACTTGTCTGTCAATATTTTTATCTCTTCAATATAGGAATTTGTTACACGTTCAAAGTTTGTGTACACAATCGCATAATTTACTTTCAAAAAATTCGGTTAAATTTCTCACCTTTTGCTTGCACCAGGAATGGTATGAGCAACAAGAGATTAAGCCCTTTTAAATAAAGCGGCCTCGCTTCCATCTCTTCACCCTCCCTGCCGAGATACCTGAAAAGTTGAAACATAGTTGTTGTAGGAAGTCGACGACAATCGTACCACAGTTATTTTCTTGGCTACCTATGTTCTGACTTACATGTTATAGTCACCTTGTTTAGCCAAGGGCTGAATGCTTAGTTATCCTTCTGGTACTGTATACATTTACTTTTTGTAGGTAATTGTGGAACCTTTATGAATCAGTTTTTAATTCTGAATTATTTGGTAGGATGATTCACATTTCATTTCGTATAAGTGTATCTGAAAAATTCACATAATTACCCTAATGTTCACACTCATCGTAGTTCCTTTCTGTCCTTGGTTTATTGTTCATTGTGGACCGATTAAAATTACATCATCTTACCTTCTTGGTGCAATTAAAAAAATGTATGTTAAATGGCATTAGAACAAGTTGTAAGCCAGTAGGGAAGCGATTAAATGACCTTTTTGGTTTGGTGTTATTAGCAAGACGACCAACGACAGGTTGTAATTCACAGATGAACGATTATTGAAGTTATTTTCTTAGATGGAGTAGATGTTACTCGTTTTCCCAACTGCTCACTTAATAAAATACCTGCTTGGATCTCTAAGCAAGATGATATTCTTCTTTTGCAAAATAATTCTAATGGTTTCCCTTCAAAACTGTCGACGTCTGTCTACAAATTTTGTGAATCCAAACAACTTCGGGGCTTCATTTCCAAATGAAATAATTTCAAAGATTGTCAAAGAAGTTGCATTACATTATTTGAGCACCAGCCGGGTTTTAGTTTTGGACATATCACCCCGCCTTCCACATTGTATGGCAGGTGACAATGCATGTCTTTTTCTATAGTTTTTCAGGAAGTGTCATCTCTATAGATTTTTGGTTTTCCAAGTTCTTCAAACACTACGCGCCTTATATTCATTTTGAAACTGTATATTCATTTGACTTGAAGGCATTTCAAGAAATTCTTGCCTTCTCCAAAAATTTGAATTCAGCGTTTTGAAAGTTCGACAGTCCACAAAGATTAAGCAGGGTATGCAGTCAAACGTATGTTTAAAATGCATGAACTTCTTTATTTTCAAAGCACGTCAGTCACTTCTAACAGAATCTATGTAACAAAGACATCAAAGACATCTCATAAGGGTTTAAGAGTGTGGATAAATCATTAACGAATCCTATTGATTCTTCACACGCAAAATAATCTCAAGGTTTCTGGAAACAGGGAGCTTGCAGCGCAATCTAGTCGAGTTGGCAACATTTTCCTATTCTATATTCAAAAGTTTTCTTAACCAACGCAGCTCGAAAGTGGGAGCGTTCCACACGGTATATCTGAATAACCCAAACATAATTATAGCTGAACTTTAACTTCATCGAAACGTTGAGTACAAATCGTGCCTGAGACCAGGAGGAAGAATATTTTGCTGTAAGTGTCTCTCACTGGAAACAGGTGGATTATAAAGAGCAACTACAAAAGCGTATTCTCCACTGCCGCTTCTAGTAATAGCGAGTCCCATCTTTTTCGTTCCTTTCCATGTTATTTGCGCAAAATGTCGTGTTTTGCTATTTATCTTTGGATACGAAAAACTGTACGACCCCATTTCCTTGTACCATTTATCTATCGTCTTTGTTATTGTACTTTCCCCGGTGTAGACTATTTGAGCAATACTCTCCCCTTGTCGCTCCTGAAGATCATCCAGAGTAAGGAAATCCTTGCCTGCGAGAGACTGAGCAATTTTTCGAGCCTTCCTTGCCAGGGAAGCTGACCAGGATAATGGAGGAGAGAAATGTTTGGCTCTGAGTCTATTGTGTTCCTTCAAGGCTTCCCTTTCCACCTCATCTAGGAATCATAAGATTAATGATAATAAAATTATTAATGACAATTATGATGCTAAATTCACTAGAAGTAGCCGTACAGTAATTGTTATCACCACGTACCTGCACAGATATCCTCATGACAACTTTTCGATTGAAACAAATCTTTTTGAGGACATGCATTCACGAGGCACACTCGGGCTCTAACGGTTACTCCTTTACCACAAGTTACTGAACACGAGGACCAGTCATTCCATTCACCGAACGTTGCATCTAAAGAAAACGGATATTCATTGATTGCCCACTGCACTCCTTAATAAAATGTATAGACGCTGGGAAAGAGGGTTGCTGTAGTGGAATCACAATTCAAACATGTACGTATTATTCAGTAATACTGCTAAACACCCCATTTCACAGAATGTTAGGTTAAAAAAATGCAGTTTCAATACATTTTTTGTTTTAGAATTTTGAGTTTCAAAAGAAGCAGTTTCACCTCATTACTTGTTACCTGCACGATCTGTATTTCAGTTTATTTGAAGTTAACTTTTGGAACTTACCTTTGGTATCAGCAGAGGTTCCATCATTCTGATCTTGAGGCGTTGGATGAAGTGGATAATAGTAAAGACTTTTCAGTGAAACATCAGATGGCCTTGAGGATCTTGTAGGAAGCGATAAAGAGGATGTTGTTCCCCGCAAAAAGGAGATTACTTGTTCCATTTTTTTTAGGTCTGGTGTTGAGTAGCCACTAGGCGGTGATGGACGATAATTTTCCCAGTTTCTTCGGAATCCAGTTGACGTTGGCTTGTTACTTTTTCTTTGGGATCGCGTTCGGCTGTTATGATGGGGAAATTCTTTTCTATGGTCAAGTTTTGGTTTCGTCAGAGCAGCACTGATTTGTGCATGAGGACTTTCCTCTGCTTCTCTTAAGAGATCGTTCACTTTTTGAAGGATTAGCCATTGTTCATCACTTTGTTTTGATTTAAGTTTTTTTGTTTGGCTCTGAGATTCTTCATGAGACTGCTCAGTTTTTGAACCTTTTTTAATTTCACCGATGACTTCAGGGTCTGAAAGTGACACCACTTGCTCACTTGAATTTGAATGCTGAAAACCTTTGATTTCACTTTTGGCAGGTATCCAAAGACTCTTAGCAGTGGTGCCAATTTTATCTTCTTCAGGATTCACGGTTTTCGAATGGTGATCTTTGCCGCTGCTGGAATTAGTTGTTGTTTGGTGTAAAAATTTGTTGTTGGCAGGCTGTTCGTTTTCTTTATAATTAACAGCTTGCGTGTGTTGGCCTTTGTTTATAATCTTCACATCTCTACTTCTGCCCAAATGATTCTCCTCTCCATCACCTATACTCTGAGTTGTTGGTATCACAGTATTATTGCTTTGGTTATTTGTCACTTCTCCCTCTGCTTCTTGTACTTTACTATCGCCATTTACGTTGTGACTGTTTCTATTTTTAACTTGTTGATTATTGTTTGTAGCTTTAGCGTTTTCCCTACTTTCGTCCTCCAATTTACCATGTAGGCTATCGTCTGTATCGCCAGATAAAATGCCACTAGCGTCAGAGTTCTCCCCATTATCTGTGTCCTCTAGCTTTTCGGTGTCGGTTTTATCACCTACATGTGAGCTTTCCTCACTGTTCCATGCATACTTGTTTTCAGGAGCATCATCGTCCTGGTAACGATCAGAGTTTCCGTCGTTTGCCCGGGCAGTATCTTCCTCATCGTCAGACTTATCATCTGCCATGTCTTTGTTTTCAGGGTCAATAGTATTTTTTAATTCATCGCCATAGTTATCAAAATTATCCATATAATCAGAAGTTTCATAGTTATCTCCTTTATTATAGTTGTCTATTTCTTGGAATAGTTTTGCGTCTTGGTTTTTTATTCGTTCTTGGAGACTCTTCCTGGAAGATGCATCTTTATCGCTGTCGTATTCGTCAAACCATCTATCAGTGGTACCGTCATTCACATCGTTATTGTTACCATTCCAAGTTTTGTAACTGTGATCCAAGTTATCATTTTCAGAGTATTCGGAATTTTGGAAGTTTTTGTCACTATCTGTCGATTTTGTTAACTTAGCACGATGTATGCCAGTTTCAGCGTCCATTTCACTCGATAACAAGTCTGTATCATCTCCAATTTGGTCACTATCCTGAAGTAACTGCGGGTTACCAGGAAGCTTAATTGTACCCTTCCCAGACATGTCATTGTGTCTTTCTTTCCCCTTTTTTCTTTGACGAAAATTTGTCCGATGTTGATCTTCCATATTGGGAAAGTCCATATCTAAACCGAAATTGTTTGTGTCTTCTAACGCATCGCTATCTTCAAAAGATTTTGCGTTGTACTCGTTAGGATCTTTCATTAGCCAATCAATTGCTTCTTGGTTCTCTTCGAAGTCTGCTTTGGTTTCCATCTTATATTCGGGCATATCTTGTAAGTTGTATCCTTCATCGTTATCTCCAGTATGGGAAACTAACATCTGGTCCTTCTCTTTGTGGTGCTTTTTTTCTTTGTGTGGCCCTTCATCTGTTTCAATAGTAACGTCTAACGGACGGAAGTCTTCAATTCCGTTTTCCTGAAGCATCACTAACGAAGAGGACAGAGATCAGAGGAGATCTTTGGTATGGGCATACTACTGGAAAAAGGACTAAGTGCTCACAGTTTAACTTGATCTCATTGACATGAGCACCAGTGAACAGGGTTTTGCTTTACTGTACTTGATTTCTCTCTGTGTGTAATGTGCCCCACATGTTCGTCCACTCTAACATACTTGTAGGTCTAAGCCTATGATAACCATTACTTACTTCCCTCATCTTTACTGTCCTCAAGCAGTTTTGGTCGCACAAATGCGTGTAAGTTGTCAAGGTCATGCGGAGCTACGCGACTGTCGAGCATCACCAGATCTACATGCAACATACACAAGATTTATAACCGCTTAAAAGTAAACGGCGTTAGAAATATTTTTATCTTTTCAAAATGCCACGTTAAAATCAAATGTAACAAGGTAATTTTGCATTATCAACTAAGTTGATAGCGTAAATTGGCCACCGTAAAGAGTTTGAAATCTGACGTTTTGAACTTTAACCCTTCGTCAAACCGACTCAGCACCACAGTTTCTTTAGAAACTTTCCTCCTTCATTCACTTGAAATCAAATGTGTTTGATTGGTGGTTTGTCCCTACCTTGTAATTGTTTTCCCCTGTGAATTACTTCCACCTTGTTTCTACCGAATTTTATACCTGCCGAGGTAATTTTGTCGTGTGAAAGGAACAGTAGTTGATGTTTCCAATTTTCGTGATAAAGGTATATCAAAAAGGCGACTTCGAAATGTTACTTACCCAGTATGTAGTCCTGCCCGATAGCAGCAAATACTAAAATCATTAACATTGTTTTGTAAGCCATGCTGTTGAGAGAATTTAACATGCATCATGAAACTGGGAACTGAGAGTTATGTAGGTCTCACAAAAAAATTGTGTTTACGATTGCACTGCAAACTAGACCCTTTAACCGCTAGAAGTGGCAGGCATCTATAATCAAACATTAAGGTCATGAGCATAAAAGAAATAATCGCTTACGAAAGCAGCTCTTGAGTGTTAAACAAATTCACCTTGAGTCATGAAGTCGTGAAATCGTGAGACAAACGAACATAGGTCATGTCCTAAATTTTTCTTGTTAGGAACATTGAAAAACTATAGAAAATAGTCTGGAAAATAAGCATACTGATGGAGGACTTTTAGGGTAATACAGAGGAACTGCAACTTGTGCACTTATTTCAATAATTTTTCTTGTCGATTTACAGCTAGTTAAAATGAAGGTTGATATGAACGATAACCAAAAAAGTAGGGAATTAGGCGACATAAAGGTCTCTCTGTTCAGTTGCTTCATGTAAAACATTTCGCACAGTGAACACGGTACAGTTAAATAACGCTTTTAAGTGTACACCCTTCAGCTAAATATCGACGGCTTCAAGGTTTGAGACCCCTCGAACTTAAAATTAAACTAAACACGTAAACAAACCCTAATACCAAATCTAATATGACATAAAAACAAATACAGCTGCCCATCATGAACACATAAAATTAATACTTCCCAAATTATTTACATCCTTACCTTTGTCAGTCTTGCAATTAATTCTCTAACCCATTTTCAAGTGTTGAGGCGTTTCGATATTAACGACGTTTAAATCGCAGATGATAGAGTTTGAATACCTGAAAGTGTTCCAGTGATGAATAGTTGATAGAATTTGTGGAAAAGGGAGATTTGTAATTACACTTTCATTTTATGAGGATGTGTATTTGAACTTACACTGTATGGTATGTATATATATTTTACCGATTCGTGGGAACCTCATCCTGACGAATTTCATCTAAATTTGCTTAATCACCTGACGGTGGCAATTCCTTTACGGGTTTCCAATTGATTCACTTTAACGCATGGTTTCCTTTAAAAGATGTGAATAGCTGAAATGAAGGATGCTTCATGGGATTTTCGCCCTTACAACAGAAAAGTAGGTCAAGCGCACATGATTCGGGTATATTATTCCATGAACGCCTCCTTTTCAGCTTGCATGCAGATTTCAGTATGAAAAATTATTTTAGTTTTTCGCAGAGACATCATCGCATTGCATTACATTTTTGTGGCCAATTATATGACTACGATGGATATGGCTGTCACACTGCTAGAAGTCCCACGGATCTCTGGGATCTTTTGTAGGTTACGATGAACTGCCTAAATTTTGCAAAATATAACGGTAACTTCCTTAACCACATGTTAAAGCTTGAAAATGATTTTTAAAGAGGTGAGGACTGCTTATGATGGAATTGCAATGACATGAGCACGTAATTACATTGGCTGTTGTTAACATTCCTGTAGGATATGAGTAAATCAAGAGAGTTTTAATGCAGCCATTTCAGACGTGCGGCGATTTCAAATCCCGTGTTTGGTTGATGTGAAATAATAATTCTAAGGTGATTTCGCACGCCTAATACCTGAAAAAAATTAGGCAGGTAAGAGTATTGTAAAAGTGTCGATACCTGAAAAGGCCGGTAGGATACTGGAGATGTTACTCGCCCGGACTGATATGTCTAGACTTGCAAGGGTATGACCATAGACGTCAATCTTTCAGCAAGTAACATTTTATTTTCAAATGGTTGATTAAAGTTAATTACTACTTGATTTCTTCAAGATACTTAATTTTCCTTATTCTTGCCAACCAATGTATCCTAGACACTTTTTTTTTCTTATGTTTCGAGATACTGTTCAGCGAGCCATGAGCTGTGTAGCAGACGTTAAATTAAACGGACAAGAAAGTGAAGAAATAAAATCCCACTCCACTAACTTCCTCTTCATCGCATCACTTCTCGACTCGTCTTCTTTTCCTGTTTCACGTCTGCTACTCACTGAGGCGTGTAAGTGGGGTCAGAGATAGGCTTCGTCTTCTTGAAAAGGGGTAACGTTAAGATTTTTTAAGATGTGACTGACATGTAGAGTCAGCGCAAGGCCGCTTGGCTTTGATGCTTATAAAATGCAATAGTGATAACATTTGGGACCAATTAAAACAACCCTCCCGATTTGACGAAATCGAGAAATTCGACGACCACCCAAAAGAAAAATACTTTGACTAATGGTTTGCCTTTGACGACGGTTTTATATAGTACCTGGTAAACTGCGAGGAGAACAACTTTAAGAGAACGAACAATCTTGTGTTCTTGTCGCAAGTTTCTTCTTAAACAGAGTTTAAAGAAAACTTGGACGAGCACGTGGCCATAAAAGCGCTTAAAAGATTTTTCGCTGATATTTTGTAAGGTTTGAGGTATTCAGACACTGGTTTTGTGTTGTAGACATAAGGAAACAATTTTTTTTGCGACGGATCTTCAACTTTCAATTCAACTGTCAGTTCCAAGTGGTATGTAAAAAGTAGCACACGCGCTTCAATCAAACTGAATATGATCTCGTTTTCAGTTCCTTTATGGAAACTGTGATATATTTCCTCTTATAAAGAGCCTTTAGGGTCCATGTAAACGGCATTTTCAATGTGCAGCACCTAATCCAAACGTGTAAGCTGCAAAAAGCCACTGGCGGATATCTATTTAAATATGACTAGCTCAGAGAAATATGATTAGCAGCGCTTCCCTGCTTTCCTAACTCTGTGATTCAGGTACATGGATGTTGCTTTTCTCCTTATGTCTTAAGTTTCCAGGTGGATCATAAAGTGCAACCACAACAGTGTGCTTTCCATCCAAGCTTTTTGCTTCCCCAATTCCGAGCCACTTCGAATCTCTCCATATAAGTTGAGTAAAGTGCCTGGTAGACTTGTCGATCATTGGATCGTCGAAGTTGTAGCTCTTGACTTCGCTATACCAGTCAGCGGTAGCTTTCTCGGCAGCGATGTCGTAACTGTGCCACAGGCGGGCCACGTTAATACCGATATGCTCCTTTTTCAAGTCCGTTAAATGGATTGAATTATCTGCTAAATGTTTAGCGATTTCCTGAGCCTTAGAGGCCAAACGCTTGGACCACTTCAGAGGAGGACTTCCGTGCCATGTTCTAAACTTGTTATGTAAACGAAGACCAGCTCTCCCTAGTTGCTCTGACAAAATTCAAGAAATGGCATTTAAGATTAAATATCACTCATGCAGCATCTTTCTTCCGAAATGGCGTAATATCATTCTAAATCGACCGAGGAAAATAAAGCCTAAGATTGACAGCAAAAAAGTGAGAGATAAATTACGGTGTTTTTTCAGAGATGAAAAATGAATCAGTTTTAAATTTATCCGGTCTTATTTTGTATACCTCATTATCATTATAATCTAATTTATATGTATGATTATGTTAGCAAAGGATGTATAATCCAAATGCTTATGAGCAGTTTGACATTACCGGTTTCCTGCTCTTTTTCCCTGGAAGTGAGTCTTACCGGGACATGGGTGCATGAAACAAGCCCTGCTTTCTGTTCTGTATCCCTTACACTGTCTTCCCTGGCAGAACTGAGCTCTAGCTTGAATACCTTGACCACAGGTCACTGAACATGGCGACCAAGAATCCTTCACACCTGTGCAGAAAGTATAGAATTAAGCATCCTTCGATTGAAAACAGCCTATCTATCGTGGCCTGTGACCAAAACCTGTACTAGTTAAAGTATTTCACTATGGTTCAAAAGTTTGACCATATCAGTTTTCTATGGCTACGTTCCTGGACTTTAATAAAAGTAAAGGAATTTTCCCGTGTAATTTAAACCAAAAGCAGTCTTCACCTTTTCCCTTAAGTTGTCAAAGACGCCTTGTATATTTTTTTAGGTTTGATTGACCTTTTAATTTTGCTTTGGCAGAAATTACAGAAGTAGCCCCCGATGAAGTAGTAGTTTTCCATACATGCTGATTGATTAAAAAAATTTCCGATTACCGGCATAGTTGGAAGCTTAAGTCGTTTCAAAACCTTACAACTTTCTGATGAAAATAGCTTGGATATTTTTTGCCGGCACATTTACATGATGGTAGTTAATATTTTTGATTCTAACCATTTTCCAACTTCCTATTGGTGGATGATCTCGTTAAGTCGTGGTCCGGTCTAAAGCTGAGTCTTGCCCTGTTTTCAGGATGGTCCTCGAAAAACCTAGATGGCCTCAAAAAGCTTTTCAAGGACAAAAACTTGTGCTTTTCTTCTCCTTCCCGCAGTCTTGAGCTTAGAGGAAATATATCTGGTGGGGGAGATTGTCCTACCCCGGCAAATGATATTCTGTCTAGTTCATTGTATTTGGTTGGAGATATTTGTTTAAAACCGTGCACTGCAGTCGGACTTCTTTGATTCTCGCCAACGTTGCGACCTCTGGTTGGGCTCACAGAGGGTAGATCTGCCTCGTGAAAAAGACCCTCATTATGTTCCCAATCATTGCCGTTATTTAATTTGGAATTCGTTTTCCCCAGAATCTGCCAGCTAAGCATATTTGTTGTCAAATCGTCATCAAAACCTTTAATCATATTTCCTTTCTTAGAGAATTCTCTTCCTGGATCTGTTTGGCTTTCCCAGAGATAACGGTTCATTTCGTCAGCATCTGTTGCTATTTGTGGCTTATAGTTGTTATATTCTTTCATTTTGGGGAACGTTCCACTTTTAATGGTTTTTTTTGGATCCGATTCCGTTAATGTGACATTGCCAGGTATTTTAAGAACTAGCGATCCGTCATTACTAGTTCCAGCTTTAAAACTAACAGGTTTTCCAGCACCAGATATTTTAAGTGTCACATAACTATCATTTGGTGAGTCTGTTTCTTTAGATTGCAAAGCGTTTCTAAATAGCGTTTTGCTATTTGGGATATCTGCGGACTGATCTTTCATCATTCGAGATGGCGTAGGAGGACCACCTCGAGAAACTTGTCCTTGAATATGTAGGTTGTCTTCATTTGTCGTGCTTGGTGGTTGTTGCTCATTGATCATTATACTTTTCGAAGATATCTTCCCTGACGTTAAAACGTTTCCTTGCGATGGTAATGTAGGCAAATGATAACTGATCACGTTAGGGTTAGCCGTCATCAGTGTTTTCACTTGACTGTGAAAAGGTGACAGAGTTGTTGCTTGTTTAGTTGCAAGCAAAGAGCCAATTGCCGCATCATTTTGTTCAATTTTTTCTCCTATCACTTTCTTGAGAAAGTCTTGCTTAAGATGGTCTTCGCTCTGGTGATCTGAGTCGTTTCGATGGTTCAGCAAGTCAAGAATGACCTTTTTACCAATCGCAGAAAAAAGATCCGAGTTATCAGATGGGGAGTTTTGGTGGTGTTCTTGATTTGTATTAACGCCCTCAAAGAGTTCTTTATCTTGGGTATCAAGTTCTTGATAATAATTCTTTGGCATTTCGAACGGATTGTTTCCAAACTTAGAATTGTAATCAGGCATTTTGTCGAATTCTGACTCCTTGTAGCTGTACTCAGGTAAAGGGTTATCTTTGTACATGTCACTAACTTTACCAGCATCAGAAGCTTGTGGCTGATCGTTGTCTATCTGGCTTATTTGGCGATAGAAATCATTATCCAGCCCTCCATTACGAACAGTACCTGCAAACGAGAGTACGGATTATGCAAGGCCTCCAGACAGTTCAGTTTCGTTCCTGTCGGTTTGAAAACTTCTTACCCAATTTGACGCCTTATCCACTTACAAATGTTGCAACAAAGAGGGAAAAGAGGCTGGATACAATTCAACCTATTTCTTAATACTTCTCAAACAGAAACTGCAGCTGTAAGAGGAAAGAAGGAAACCATTGCTTTTGTCGCAAATTCAGATACCATTTTAGACCCCAGAACAGGTGGTCAACAGACCTGAACCTTATACATGAAACGTGCATTTTTTCGGTCGTCGCATGCACGTGCAGAAGTGACGTGGGTGCTTACTCATATCTTCAGTTCTCCCCATTTCATCTCTTGTTACCTTCTCAACGAAGTTCCTACTACTCTTACTAAAATCTGAAGAAGAAGAAATTAGCGTTACCCAAATGGTTTTCAATATTTTGAATAGGCTCTTTAAGCACATGCACAGGAAAAAAGAAACCATTTCTTTCTAACAATATTTGGAAGTCAATGGTGAACACCAAGAGTTTAATCTTTGCTCTATAGCTTTGTCATAAGCGGGGCAATTGTATTCTCTTAGTTTTCCTACGCTTCTTTCCGAATTCCTTGGACCTCAAAAGTCTAAAAATTACACACCACTCTAAATTTCTAATAAGTTACCGTTTGGTGACTTGTTATGAGAAGGATCCATCACATAACCGTCTTCAGTCTTTGACATTGTGCCATGCAAATAATCCTCATGATTTCCTGTAAGTTCTTTTGAGAGGGAAAACTATTTTGTCAAAAAAATACTAGATACCCAATACAGAAATAGAGAAAGAAAAAAACAAGGTTAATTTGATGGGTAACCCTTCCTGAATATTTTAAAAGTGTAACCTTATTAGTGTTAAGATGAACAAAAGAAACTTCGGATTAATATACTACCAGAGCCCTAGTCACCTCTATGAAGCGGTCGTGGACACCGTTTACTGTGTCCTAACGGCCTGTTTGTATTTACTTTTACTTGCATTTTCGGTCACATAAAGTAGAATCACTCAAATAAAACTGAGAATGATTTTCTTTGTAAAGTTGAATTCATTTTTATCGCCCGAAATCAATGTAAAAATTATTTTTAAGGGAGCTTTTGTGCATTAAGTGGTACATTATAGCATAAAACGACTTGTTTTGTGTTTTTTTTATTGTATGCACGATCTGTGGAACCTTTAAAAGGCGGTTGACCTGTATTAAGCGGTCACGGCTTTCCCCGTAGCATCGTTGAGAGCTCACACTACACAGAGTTAAAGCTAACGTAAGGAAGTATAACCTGGATAATTTTATATGTCCTAGGAAAAGTTTTAGTTGTTTTATTTCAAAATAATAGCTGAGTGATGTTACAATCTTGATTATTCTATTAGATTAAATTACATTGAATACTAATGAAACATTACCTTTGTCAAATTGGTTCACCAATCGTTGGTCAAGTGATGACAGCTGTCCAGAATACAATAGGGCACTGTTTGTCAAACTTTGTTCCTCTGAGTCCAAGGAAAAAGGAAAAGATGAAAGGTCAAAATAGGGACAAGTATGACTCTACTACTGGTGGGTAGGTATGATATTAAATACTCACATCACCCCAGAGTTAAACAGACAATTATCTTCTTATCCCAGCAAATGGGTTTTATGATAAAGTAAATTGCTTAGTCACTGTTGGGAGACAAGGTATATTCGCTTTAATGTGCACTTGGTTCAATGTGATCTGAAGGAACGCTGTTATGAAACTTAATTTATAACAAAACGTATAAATAAACAATTACCTTTAATCGCTGGAAGTTGTTGTAGAGAATTTACATTATTTTTTCTTGTGCCCTCGGTATCTGACCCTAGCACATAACAAAATACCGTTATAAAGGTCTATGACGATGATTTTATTATACAACAGAGAAACTTCTTGCCAACCTGCATTAGTCACTTTAAAAACATCCTCTGGTTTTAATCCGATAAGAGCTGATCGTGTAATTTTCTCGAATGGCAGCGCAGGTATTTTTCTTTCATGCTTTTTCCGGGTTATCTTCTCCCGAGAACCTGAGGAAAGAAGTTTGCAAACAGTCCTTGAGTTGGATTTGAAAAGAAGACAGGAAAATATGCATCAAAACATACCTTTTACTATAAGTAACAGGAACGCTAGTATTAACAGCGTGGGAATGGAAGCCTTGGTCATCTTCTCAGCTGTTAAACAATTCTGCCCACCAAGAGCATGGCTGTAATTTCCTTTTAAAACCATATAAAATGCCGTTAACAAACAAATAAATCAGCGAGATTAAATACCTTATAGAAATGTGAAAATGATTGAACTAGGTAAGTATGATTCAAGAATAAAAGAGTGCAACGAATTATAGAAATGGACTTGGTCAAACGCGCGTGTTACGACATTCATCTGAGTTGGCAACTTAGTTTACCGGGGACATGAATGGGAAACTTTTCGGGCCCTTTTGAGTAATAAAAGATCTCGATTTTGGCTCCCTCCAACTGAATATAGAATCATCGGTATTTGGGTCCAGATATGACATGCTCTGGTAATTTCTTCCTAGTCGAGAAGTCGCATAAATGTAAATGTCATCCTCTTGTTTAAATGTTTGATTCAGAGGTCCCTATCTTCCGTGATTCTTGGTAAATGAAAATAAGATATCATGTGTCGATCTCTGTGTCTGATAGACATGTAAAGTGGTTATTGGTTACGATGGCTGAAATGCTTTCTTGATCCATTAGTCGTTTGGTAGTAAACACTAAAATATTTCTCGCATCTCGACTTGGACGAGCGAGGATTTGTCAATTTTCCTTCTTCCGGTTCATATATGCTCGGCTGTAAAGCTTTTGGAAATTCAGTGAGATTCATATCTTACACCGGAGCACACAACCTAATAATAAAATAATGAAAATGGCACAATAACTCACTTACCAGTTACATACCAGGTTTGTTTTAAGCGGCAGATACATTATTTTTGGCCATTGCAAAAGATCTGATTTTCACCGAGAAAACAGGTTAAATTAGTAATAGAGATAGTCTTTTGGGCAGGTGCTCTATTCATTACATAACTACGTGTCAAAAAAATTTACGGTCCGAGGAGTAACATTCGGTCTTACGGTTTTTTTAAGGCTCGTAAAATATCTTCGTCAAACCCTCGATTCCTCGACAAGTGTAGAACCGGAGCTACAACAAATAATCGGTGCTGAGGGTAAATAAAACGCGGCATGTACAAAAAGACATCCCAAAATACCTCGCAGAAATGAAAGGCTCGTCTGATTGTTTTAGAAAGCATCCGAATTTCCGGAGTATTCCTCTACAGGTTTACCTTAGAGTGTGTCTCTAAGCCTCTCCTGGAATAATATTATAATGAAAGACAGAATGTAACGTTGTACGTGACGAATTTAAAAAGAAAAGAGGGTGGTTCTATAGTCGTTATTTTTCAACTCAATCATAAAAATAGTTTACCTAAGCATGTAAAGAACGCGCTCCAATTATATCGTGGAAATAAGTTGTATTAGGTGTTTCAATGAGAATATTCTGCATTTTTTGGTTATTGAGGAAAAGTTTATTTTACATTTCAGTTACAACTTAATTACCGTTGCGTTTACCTTTTTCTGTATCATTCTCGAAAAAATTCGTCTCACTGTTACCAAGTCTTTCATCCATAAACAAACATGAAAACAAATAAAAGTATTTATTTTCAAGCTTTTAATAAACAAGGTATATCAATTAAGGGTTGTATTTGGTAGCATTTTTGCCCTCTTAAATATTGTGGCGTAAACGTCCTCTGTCATAGTTCCTTTATTGAGTACATTATCTCGTAAACGTCGCCGATCATTCCCTGGAGGTTTATACAAAGCCACCACATACAAATCATTAGTAGCGACATCCTTGGCGCATCCCATGCCTATCTCTTTCGTTCCTCTCCAGACCAGTTGAGTGAATGCGTCAGTCTGTGGAATTACTCGTGGATACGAATAACTATAATTACGTGATTCGCTATACCAAAGATTAGTTGCCACTTCTCCAGCGTCGTTGAATGGGACGCCTGTGATTTTTGCCACATTTTCTCCATAACCCATCGACATTGCTAATTCTGAGCGTTCGACGATTCCCCTCATGGCCATATCATATGCCATTTTTTCTGCTTGCGTAGCAAGTACGTCTGACCAACGAAGATTAGAAGAGTGGTGTTCTTGACGATAATGATTATGAGCTTGAAGGCCCTTCTCAGCAAAAGTTTCAAGATCTAGTCAACAAGAGAATAGTGCGGTTAAACCAGACCTCGACAGCATCAATATCAAAAAGACAAAGGATGGCAACAACATAAATTAAAAGGGCAAAAACGGTTGAACGTTACCTTCCTTGATGTGCTGTACTGTGGAGGATTCTTGCTTGTCTCTAGGAGTTCCGATCTCTGTGGCAGACTCAAAAAGGACATTTTCAGATGGAGCCAGCGCTTTCGTCGGGGAATTTGATTTTGTAATTGGTTCAGATGGTGATATTTCTAGGTCTTTCAATGGGTCAAAGAGCGCATTTGCTCGATCCTTTTGAGGCTTCCGATCTTCTTGCCCAGCTTCTCTGATTAGAGCGGACAGTTCTACGGAGTTCGCTTTCCCATGGACAGGAATATCTTGCATAAATTGAGTCTTTATCGTGGGTTCAACGTAATGTACAGAAACTGGGTCTTTTTGTATGGCTCTTACACTTCCAGTTCTTGTGGACGGAATGTTTATATGTTGATTCTCTTCTGTTGGGCTTAGATCCGAAGGATAATTTATCACGTGTTTGCCCTGGAGACTTTTGATACTGGATTGTACTGCTTGCAATAACTTTTGGACAGCTTCGGCGAATGCAGCTGTAGTTTGTGTGGCAGACTGAGGCTTCCTATTTGTGTGGTAACTATCAGTTTGTTTCTCAGCTGTCCCTTTTAATGAGGGTAGAATCCTCACGCTGTAACCAGCCTTGGTGGTCGGTCGCACTTTTGTGTTTTCATTCGCTGTGTCTTTTGAGGGTTCACCTACATCTTTTTTGAGGTTTTCCTGAGATAAAGGCTGAGCATCGTTAAGTTTCCCTAAAGTATCCACAATACCTGTCGGCTTTTTTTCAGATTCGGTCTCATTGTCCACATCGGTTTCCTTTTCTTGAAGAGGTTCATCGGAGAAATCTTTATTAGGCACCATTGATTCTCCTGATTTTGGAATTTTTAAAAGAACCCACGATTTCCGATTCCCTTGAACGTCCACCACTTTCTTCGAGGGCCAAAAACTGTCAGGTACCCTTGACAACGATGCACCCTTTGTAAATTTGGGATCGTCATTCATTTTTCGCAAGTAATTTTTTAGTTCTTCCTTAGCCATAGACTTGATAAGATCGCTAACAGCTTTTGCTAGGGCAAAAGAAAATGACTTTTTGTGATGTTTCCTATTCGTTATCATTGCATTCCCTTTATCTAACTGTCTTGTTTGAGGTAAAAGTTTTATTCGTGAACTTGAATCGGTTGGATTATACCGGAGCAAAGGTTTGTATGTGGGTTTGGTTACAAGGTGTGCCTTGCGCCCAAACAACAGTCTCAATATTGAGATTCCCAACTCTGTAGGATTGATAAGCTCGGTATGTATAGTAGACTTCCGCTCACCAGATGGACTGTTCCGAAACGATGAAACGTTCAAAAGACGTAATAGTTTGCTCCCAAAATCTTGAGGATACTCAGCTTTAGAGTTTTGAGGATCAGAACCATCAGTTTTGTGCTCTTGACTTACTGCTTTGTCATTGTCAAGAAGCACTTTAGCCAGGGACAGGGCATTGGAGTCTTTAACAAAATGATTCTTTTCGTTCAACAACAGCCCCAATGCAGTGAAGAGAGTGCGAGAAATAGGAAGTGCGTGTTCAGGCTGAGATCTATCTCCTGTAGCTGAAGGCAAAATTATGGAAGTTCTTTTCTGAGTGCTTTTCGCTGTTGATGTAGCTCGTAAAGCAAGTCTTGTTTTTGTTTTTGGATAAATTTTCTTCGTAATTTTGTGTTTCTTGTCTCTCTTCATAGAGTTTTTAACGTCTCCAGCAAAAGATGACAAAGCCAGTTCCCTCACTAAAATCTCATTCTTTGCTATTTCATCTTTTTTTGCAGGAGGAAATAATCTTCTCTTTCGAGATGTATCTTTCTTCTCCATTTCAACAATTCTTTTCGAGTCTCGAAGGTGAGCTGACGTTCGCTTGACGAAATCAGTTGAGTTCCTTTCCTTCCTGAACGCATGGTGTTTGGTCTTGTGTTTGTGACTCAGGCCTACACAAGTAACACAAACATGACGTTATGCACAATCAATTGGCTATCTGCTTAAGATTGGAATAATCATTTGTACTGAAGTATCTAAAGTTCACTTGCTATGGCCAGTTTAAATATTTGAATATTTTTAGTACTCTTGGATTATCTTACCTGAGTGAAAGGCGTTAGGAACCAAGGTTAATGAAAGGACCAGGACCAACAACTTTTCATTCATTTGTTCATCAGAATTGAAACGCTGTAAGAGAAGAGTAAAATGCTCCTGCTAAATGAAAACTATCGAAATTAATGAGTGTAAGACAAAAGCAAGACTTTTTTTAATATTAGCGCAGACTTGAAGTGATTTTGTATCATGGCGTTTTAATGAAGTTTAAGTAAAGATGAGCAAAAAACGCCTTAAAGATAGCTGTAATTATGTGGGCAACCAGGGTAAATAGGTGTGTATATGCATATGGCGCCGAATATTCAAGCTCTTGTCATGGAAATTTCAATGACAGTCATTTACTCGATTAATGTTTTTCTACATCTGGAGTTCATTTTAAAGACTACGTTAGGTGAATAGGCGAAAGAGGTCCCGACAACATTGGTCATCTTTGAAATCAATGTTTTAGCTATGTACTCTGTAACCCTTAGTGAAAAAATTTTAAGATAAGAGACACCGATAGAGTCTTTTTATATTTTATTTCTGTCCTTGTCTCCTCAGTAATAACAATGACATTAAGGCTCACCAAGCAAATAACCATACCTGTTCTCACTCATTATTATTCATATCTGTTGCTGTGATGGCTTCCTTTTCAATCCAAGATACGAATTTCCAAACAAGAGATACCATGAATCGAAGAGCTGGTCAGATGCGTCGTGTTCGTAAAACCATATCAATATTTCCCAGGACAGGAGGAAAAGGGAATTATGGCATATGGTCAATAATATATTATGAGTCACTTCTGTCCAAAATCGAGGAATAAAATAGAACGATTAGTCATTTGACCGTGATAATAAAAGTGAGACTGGTGATTGTTTTGTTTAGACTATCTACCTCTCCCCTAAGTGCTATTTGATGACTCAATCAACCTGTCAATTCATTTGACGCTTCAAAGGTTCTGTCATTCAAACCAAGCGAAAAAAGCAGAGTGCAAAATAGAAAGACAAAATATGAAGAGAACCCTTATGAAGGATTCTCGCGACCCACGAATGGTGATCTTACAGCGACCATGTTACCCCATTCTTCATGTAATGATGATGGTAAATACAACAATGATAACAATTAGTTTAAGAGAAATTAAAAACATTGTATGTTGTTATTCAGCAGTAACAAGTGGTGATAACCGTACCTCTTTTGATTAAACTTCACGTGAGTTTCAAATGTTTTTACCATTTTTGCGATTATCCTGTTGTTTTTGTTTTCTTTGATTCGTTATTTCCTCATTTATAGCCTTAACCCCTGAGTTTCAACCACAATTTTTCATTTGCATTGAACTGATGCTTCATTGAGCATAGAATATCGGGACCCACGCCCTCTAATGAAAAGTAATTACTTTTAAAGTCGAGATTCGGCTGAACACTTCAGACCACATATTTTCTTTAAGAAAACAGACCACCTTTCTCTTGGATAATTTAGCCTCAAAGTGACTTTTGTCCAGAAGCAAGATCTTCGTGAATATAACAACAAAAAAACTAAAAGGTTCCGGGTTCTTTTTGTTTAGAAACAAAAGTCTTATTTGATCAAGAGGGAGTGACTCCCAACCCAGAAGGTAACATGTCCAGCCGCTGCTAATCTTTGGAATATTTATAAAGTTATTAGACAGAAAGAAAGAAAGACAGAAACAATGGGTGAAATCTCGAGCAACATCAACCTGCGGGAGGTCCAAAAGACGGTAGTGCTTGTAATAGCACACAAAGAGCAAAGGGTTCTATCCGCTTAGTAATAAGAAGGGAAATCCATCTCAGGCAGCGTCGTAACAATTTGAACGATTATTCCAACAATTGGTGAAGCCAAAATTAAAAATTTCTATGCATTATTTAGTAAAAACTTACTGTCTATGTTGACCTCCGGCCTTCACGAAAGTAACTTCCAAAATAACACCCAGTGTGGGTTAGAACTTGACTCTGCCATAAGAGGCGACTCATCGTAGTTTCAACTTTATCGATTTTAATGCTTTTCGTTTGTTTAGCTTGAATAATACGGTATAACGCAATTGAAAAGAGGTTGAAATAATTCAAAACTTACCAGGGAGCACCAATTATTACAATTATTACAATGCAATACTTGTCAAAGGAAAACTGAAAGCATCAGAGGCAAACAAAGGAGCGAGTATTGGCAATGGTGAAGAAGAAACAAATTTGAAATTAAAGTAGTTATCTATAACTTGCCTTTTGTAATGAGATACTGGTACTTTTCACCTGCATAATGCTTACACGATTAGTGTGTTAGAACCTCTATTCTAAGCAGCCACGATTTTCAGCCAGTTTTGGGCTTGTTCGCAAAAGATTACCTCTATTGTTGTTTAATCTAGGAACACTGCTGACCTCAATGACACAAGAATTGAGGGACGTGGGTGACATAACTTCATTCTCTTGCTGACGGCGTTAAGACCTCCTGGAGAAATCCATCCTCTTTTCACATTAAAGAGGAGAACTACTGTTACAATTCCTAAATTAAAATCCGCATAAGGATTAAAACGGGAGGTAGCGATACGGAAATAGGGCCTGAGCACTAGTTTTGAGCATGTGCTCTTCGAACTCGGTCGTCAGAGCAATCACCATGGACGATGAATTAAGTTTTTATTGAAGGATTTTTAACTGGATCTTGGATTTCAGAACTGAATTTAGTTTTTGTGCTGATTTAAATGGCAGGTGCTATAGAAATCAGGTCTTCGCAGAGGTGAGAGCCTGAAGATCGATCGAACAAACCAATGAAATGACTTCGAGTTGTTGAACATGTCAGAACTGCTTTTTAAAAAACTTGTTAAGACTTTCCAGTAAGAAGTGCACCTTTTTGGAGTGTTTGTTTTACTCTTTGGCTACCTGCGACAATGTAAAGTTGTGTATAGTTCTCTGTTGTCTAGAAATTAGAATTTGGGCAGGCTCTGCCCTTTTCCACTTTTTTCGTTCGCAGAATTTCCACTGTCTTTGTTCGTTATTTCATCTATGTGATGTGTTTGACTGTGAATCTTTCGATTAAATGTCTAAACACTATAGGTATAGGTTCTGTCTGACCACTTAAGTCCTCTATTATTTGTCCAGCCTTAAGATAGAGCTCCCAACGAATAAAAAAGGTTTATGGGGAATTGATTCTTATTCTTTTGTGCAATAATAACTGTAAAGGTGACAATAAAATTACTTAAACCTTAAGTGCTGATTCATCTGTTCATGTAGCAGCTTAATCAAAAACTGACCACATGTTGAAGAAGTTGACTAAAACACACGTCCCTAATATCATATAAACGTTTATTGTTTTTCGTTGATACTGATTCATGATTATTCACAATGAACTAGAATATTCACCATTAGTTTGTTATCAGCTAGAGGCAAAAGCCATCGGTCCACATTAACAGGCAATTGGTCACAACAACTAAAGGATGGTGGCTTTACTTATTACAGCCTTTTGATTCAAATTATGAATCTTGACACAATCAGCGGCGATCATCTATTTAAAACCCATTCCATTTTGGCTCGTCAATTTGACTAACTCTGGGAGAACTGCTAAATTTCAAGCGACTCGTCGAAGACTAAACTATGACTATCTTATTTCTTCCTCGTGGACGGTTATCAGTAGCATCACTTTTACTAGGAGAATATTTCACATCTGTTGCAATCAAGTTGAAGCCCTGTGGGTAGAAAAATAAGATACAACGATATAGCGCACCACAGGTCTTGTCAAAATGTGTTGCAAATATTAGAGAACGACGTAGCTCCTACACACGCTATTCTGCTCGACTGTTCGCGAGCTTCGAGTAAATACGTACTTTACGAATTGAAATTAATGAAAAAATAATTATAGAATGACTTAACAAACACACGAGTCACTGAATGACAGAATGGATGAGAAAGAAGTCAGAAAGAAGAAGAACAAAAATGGAACGAACTGAAAAAGCAAGAAACGGAAGAATGGAAAGGAGGAACGCAGATGAATCAAGGGATCGAAGCAGAGATGCAAAGTAGGCAGGAACGGACAACGCCAGTGAAAAAAACGAATGATCTAATTAAAGAAGATAGGAAGGAAGGAAGGATGGAAGGAAGGAACGGAAGAAAGAAGAGAAGTAGCATAAAAAAATAGGAAGAGAGGTAAGAGGCCTGCCTCTCTAGAAATTACTGAGGACTGGGCATTGATTATGCTAAATAGTAGCCTACCTTTCCGGGCGTCACTTCAGCATTTACCAGCTGAACTCCGTCCACTACTGGCAAAGGAAAGCCAACGTCGCCAATTTCTATACGGTAAGAAAACAAGCAATAAGTTAACACCAACCTGACAAAGTTTGATGCAATAGTTGAAAGTGTAATGTACAGGTATGGTTGAATTTGAAAGTAAAGGCTACCAATCACGATCTTAGATGTCAGCCCCCGTTGGACAGGGTATGTAGTTTACAGGTGACTTTGAGAAACTCATCGTGATGCGTATATTCTAGAGAGTGGATTTGACTTTAACACTGTGGACAGCCTGATTTTAAAACTGTAAATCAGGTTAATAAAAATCGCATATAATTCGCTCTCGACTCCTTATTATTTTCACTTGCTTCCACGGTAAATCCATAGGGTGAAAGGTTCCAAAACTTCTTCAGACTTTCCCAGATCCCAAAATCTTTAAATAAAAATTACGCTCACAGAAGATTTAAGAATAGAAAAGAAAAAAAAACCAATGAAGCCTTAGCATTCAAAATGAATTCAGAGGTAACTTTTCTCGTTTGGTCGGAAGCTCCCTCTGACTTAGACTGAGACATTTATTTCATGGAGGTTTGAGCATTCCTCGACATGCTTACTTTTCAAAAGGAGCTGTTAACTGTGTAACTTGATGAGATAAAACATAAGTAAGCATTGTATAAGCATTATAAATTTATTTCTATGGCCTACATATGCACGTTGGGTCATGACTTTACAACTAAGTTATGCTCGGTTTGATTGGTTACCGCTCATATTTTTCAGGATGGAGGCCAGCAATGTCTTAAAATTTCTCTCTAATGATGGCTAAGCATTTTCCCAGCTAAACCGAAACAGAATAATATTTCTTGGACGGCAAACACCATAGAGACTTTTTGATTGATTGTTTATCGCTAGTTAGTAGATGACATGAAAATTTCTCTCACTGTTTAGTTGCTTGGCAATTATCTGGTCTGCAAAAGCATCCAAAGCGAATTGAAGAAGCTTCATGTTGATCTGCAATTCAGCAAAATGAAACTCTTAATAAATAAATTTCTTACGTGATTGGTTGATTCCTAGGAAATGACTCATCGAAAATTTCCTTGAATGTTCCGATTAATCTTTACTTCGAAAAACAAAATCATGCGCTTTATTCCATCGGTTTATGGTGTCTTTTGTAGAAGCAAGGGTTTTAAAACCATTTCTTGAAAAAGAGGTTTGATAGGTATGAAGTCCCGAGTATATGGAAAAGTGCAATATTTAACTTTTGGAAAAAGTAACATAATCTTCTTACGACGTTCCGCGAGCCATTGTTTTCAGAGTAGTTTTCGTCCTAAGTAACAGTTTTGTACGCACTTTGAATTTTTCCTTTCAACACATTTGCTTCCTCGTTACAATAACTTAAAGAGGAGAACATTTCCGTCATAACTGTGCCATACAAAATAGAAGGCCTCTGCGCCCCCTGAGTAATGGACCAATCAAAGCTATTCCTGATTTCGTTATGCGCTGTTCACTCCTTATTGTATTT